GACTCACAAGCTGAGCTGGCAGCAGGTATATACTCTTGTTTAAAAAAAAAAAAAAAGTTTCAATCATTAAGTCAAAATGAGCTGCATTTTTATTTATTATGTTAAATAAAAGTTTAATTTTAATTTTAATTTGACGCAATAATAACAAACAAAAATTTTTATTGCACTACGTGGGATCAACTACATAAATTTTTTCTCTATTGTGTTATATTTAGAATCAAATTCTTATTTAAATCTGAAAATTTTTATTTTTAATTTGAGGTAAACACAAAAAAATATTAAATTAATAAAAAATGGCTGAATTAAATCATTATTTATTTGCTCATTCATCCTGAAAATATGGCTAAATTTATTAAATAAGCATTTCATGTTTCTTATTGGTTTTATTGTTCATTTGAGATAAACAAACAAAGAAATTATTAAATTTATGAAAATAGGGCTGAATTTACTAATCATTTATTTGCTCTTTCAACCTGAAAATATGCCTGAAATTACTTAATAAACAATTTATGTTTCTTAACACAAATAAATTTATTAAATTTATGAAACTATGGCTGAATTTACTAATCATTTTTTTGCTCTTTCATCCTGAAAATATGGCTGAAATTACTAAATAAACAATTTATTTTTCTGATTTAAAATAAATCCAGCCTAAGTGAGAGAAATAATTGTTCCCTTTTAATATGGAGAGTTGAATTAAAGCACTTGTTTATATTAAAAAACTGGCAGCTAATCAAACAATAATAATGCTTCATTTATCCAATTTTCAAATCAGCGTGTCTCTTAAAACAAAGCAAATCATATTGGTGAAAGGGAAATATTGACCTTCACTCTTTAATGGCTTAGGACTTAATTAAAACCAAACATCGCAGTGCTTAAGTTGCGTCCATTTCACAAAAACCTTCACATAATTTATTCACTAGTTATTGATAATAGTAGTGCTGAGCATTTTTAGTTATTAAGTTAGCTCCATCAATAATACTTAGATATATCTGAAAATGAGGAGTACGTCTATAGAAGAAGACGTGCAAATGAAAATATTTAGTTTAAAAAATAGTATGAATAATTTTATGAAATTTTGTAATAGTGGCTCTTCAATTGTTTTGTGACGTTATATTTTATTTTATTTATGAAATGAAATGTTGTACCATTCGACATTTTGTTACCACCTCGTTGATTCAATTATCCTGACCAGGTCATGACAAAAGTGAAAAAAAAAAATAATAACAACCTCAAACCTTTATCTATCAAGATGGGGTTGGCTACATGAATCCTTCTTCTTTTTTTCAATGTATCTTACTAAGAGTCAAATTCTCATTAAAATCTAATACAGAATCATAATTTCTAATATTTTCTAACCCGATAGTTATTAAGTTACCTGCAAACATAAAATAAAATTGTTTGGAGAACCATAATAAACCATTAATATCACAAATATGGTTAAAGATTACTGTGGCTATAAACATAATTACTTCTTTTAATACATCTTAAGCTTCATTTGCAATTTTTTTTCTACTTTCAACAAATTTTATACTTAAAAAACTATTTTAAAAATAACAAGAAATCTATTCCACCCAAAATCCTAGACTTCTAAACCCCTAAAAGTTATTAAGAGTCTAGCATTAGCTTTAAATTACAGAAGTTTCTGCGTATCCCATTGCTTAATCTTCACTAAAAGGCCCAGCTACAACTAACAATCAGTGGGATTTTTGTTTTCTTTTTTATAAGTAGCAATTAGAATAAGCAACAAACTAAATCCATAGATGCAAACTACTCCAAGGAAAAAAAAAAAAAAAACTTACCTAAAACCCACAAAAAAGGCCTAAAATAAGCCCACAAAACCAGCTAGAACAATTCCATCACCATTACATAACTATTTCAAATAATTCCACTCTCACAAGTCTCTTCCTAGTTGCCAACTTAAAAAACAGCTTTAGCTAAAGCGTAATCAAGCAGAAAACTTTCTCAAATCAACTTCAATAGACCCTAATTTATCATTAAATATATTATTAATCACATGTTTCTTTATAGCCAAATATTTTGCTTCACATTAGCCAACAAACCACCTAACTTTTTGATAGGTTAGCTTGCCCCCACAGGCATGCACCTTACCTAACTTTCTTTTTTTTTTAGGTCTAAATCCAAAAAGAGTAAAATGATTGCATCCACTGTTTTTGGTCCAAATACTTGTAGATGTAGAATTGTAAAAGAATTGGGTCATTTTCCAACTGCTTCCTTAAAAAAAAAAAGATTTAATTATTAAAATTCAACCCACTTGGTTTGAATCAGGTCACAAATCGGCTCATCTTCTATGGAATAATAAGTAAATAGAAATTCAAAGAGCAACAATAAAATTATAGAAATATTTAGAGATTGGACAAAAAATAACAAATTAGGAGATAAAAAAGATGGAACAAAGATATTCTTAATATTTGTAGATTAAACCCTTCAATGAGACCATGAGTAGGAATAATAATTCTGTGCGGACACCGAATGCAGTATGGAGATCAATCGAATGCACCACATCATCCCCTGCACAGTATCATGGCTCAATATAGCTTGGTACCGCGACTCGATACAGCTGATGTGACATATTTTGATTGATCTCCGGACAACATTCTGCATCCAGTCTACTCATAAAATAATTTCTCCATGAGTAAAAGCATGCTTTTACTCCAATTTGACTCATTGTTCATCAAACTATACTTTGTTCATGAGTAATTTATCAACTAAAACTCTATTGCAAACCTAAAAAAAACACAAAAACGAGTAAACAATTAAGCCATTGACAGATTGGATTGATCTGTTTCAAATTTAAATGAAGCCTACCGTAAATTAAAAAATAACAAGAAGAATATACGTTATGAACGCATGATGTGAGTGAGTTGCCCTTTCTCAGGCCCCATTTTTAAGACAAATCTCTTACATTTGGTACATATTTTTCAACTATACAGCCTACCCATATTAATAATGATTATGATAATGACGCTTTCATATTTCAACAATACATGGTGGGAGCCAATATGACAGCCTTCTACCTTTAATAAAATTAAGGTCCAATATCGCTCTTCATTCTCCAGTTAAGTAGAAGAAAGGAATTTTACCTAAAGATAAGAAGAGATGATATGCTGCAACCTTTTTGAAGTAAAAAAAGGCCAATAGTTTGAAAAGCATCCGATGTGAGAACGAGTCTCACGACTTTGCTAAAAGCTGGTCACAAATAAGGTTTTGTTTGGAACAATTTTTTTTTTCCATTTTCAAAAGCAACTTTCAAGCATAAAAAATTTTATACACAATACAAAAACAGCAATAAAAAACTGTACTATGAATTCTAAGGCTTCGTTTGAGGCGGCTTTCTTACTCCTGCTTAAAGCATCTTTCTAGTATAAAAATAAAAAATTTTGTACTAGAATGCTGCTTTAAGAAGCAATAAGAAAGTCATCCCAAATAAGGCCTAAATATGATATAAAAAATTTGTTTTACTATCTCAACTTCTGGAAAATCAACAAAATAATTTTAAAGTTATATAATGTAAACAATATATACAATATCATGACATCCATACATACAAAATATATTATTTGACATAATTTGACAAGTCTATGTTGTACAAGTACAGAATTGAAGACAAATATCATCACCTAAGAAAATTGAAACAGATCCACGCCTATTTAAATTGCAAAAATAGAAAATCCTCAAGGCATGATCAACAAACTAATTAAGGCTTGTTTGGGACGGCTTTCTTACTACTTCATAAAGCAGCTTTCTAGCTCACAAATTTTAATTTTTGTACTAAAAAATTTATTTAAGAAGCAATAAAAAATCCGTCCCAAACGAACCCTAAATCATACTAATATTAATGTTTGTTTAAGAGAAAACAGTATGAGCAAAAAAAGGTAAACCAAAAGCTAAACTTCGATAAAGGTAATTTAAGTAATAAGTCCAGTTTTGCGACCAAGCAGGGGAAACCACACGCAATGTGTGGACCACTGACAAGACGCTACATCTGCATGTGTCACCGCCCATGTGAGCATATTGTCTTTAAAGAATTGTCAACAACAATATAATCAATGCCCTCTCTCAAGCCAGGATATAATTGGCTGATGGGATACGTTGAATAGGGAACGGTAAAATGATATGGCACATGATCAAGATGTACGAATCTAAAAGCACTGAGACATTGTACACCGACGCTTAAAAATGTCAAAGCTCAATGGAAGAATCTGCAGGGCAAAATTCTGGGCTTTATTAACTCTATTGAAGTAAAGGCCTGACACATGCAAGCTCAATGGAAAGAAAAGCATCTCCCTCTCTTCATATATATACTAAAAGGAATTGCAGAACCTTATCAGGAACACACATGGCCACAAAAGATTTAAGATTCTATAACAAGAAGGAAAGAAAATTGTATGAGAAGATTTGGAATATGTATCAGGATGGTTGAAGTTACAACATGTGTACCGCAAATAAAAAAACTGGAAGGCATTTTGAAAAAACTTGAAGATAGATTCAGATTTATGAAAGACATCTTTGAACTTAATATCCATCTTATCTTTAGATGTAAATTTTGTCTTCTAATTTCCTATAAAATGTCATGATTTTTAGATCCATCATGATATGTTTATCAACAGGATTTTTGGACGCAATTTTATTCCAAAATAAAATAAGCACTCATTTGTGTAGTTATAGATCTACTTGATTATAGAAGCAAGATACAAAGTGTTAATTGCATTATACAACATAACAATCTGCCATACACAAGCTATCAATGTATAGAGAGTTTATATACAGGCAATTTTGTATATCTGATGAAATAGAATTACGGGGTGTCAATACATTGAGTAAATTGGATTAGAAAACGTAAAGGTAGAGATTCACCTGGCCGAAGCCACTGCTTTTAGGGATACACGCTCCAATACAACTCATTGCAGCTTGAGAAAACAATACTGTAGTGGAAAATGAAAAATCAGCTCTCCAAAAGAAACGAACGGTGCTGCATCTTGGCCCTCTAAATTTAAGACCAGTACTGGGATTATGGAACTTCCATTACAAATTTAGCATTTCAAAATTAAAAATAATAGCGCAGTAACTCAGATATTTGTAAAAAGAAAATCTTAAGCCAATTCTTACGAAAAAGAAAAGAATAAATAGTTTTGAGGATAACAGAAGTATATACAAAATGCTAAGTAAAGGCTTTGCCTGCTTTGAACAGCCTGCAGCTACCAAGGGGTAAAAGCTAGTCTTACATAAAGCAAAATAGAGCAAGAACAGCAGCAGCAGCAAAGGCAAAGTTGTATCTCATTGTAATGTCCAGGAACCATGCGTCAGAGGGTTAGAATTAGCTATAAAAACTAGGGGTTGAGGCCACTAAATTGTACTGCCTCAAACAGAACAAAGCCAAGAAAAGAACCGGTGCGGGGATGCAGCAACAGTTCTCCCTCGAAGATATGGCATTTTCACTTCCACAGTTTGATAAATTTGTCATGACTTGCTGAAGCTACCAACCCATTAACATTTGAAACTGCCAAAGCGGCAATCAGACCTTCATGTGCAGCAAGGGTCATGGTATTGCTCTGCTGCATATCCCAGAGCTCCAGAGACTGCAAAATTTAGCACATAAGAGTTTCAGACTTAACTCAACACTAGCTATTATGGAATTCTAATCATTTAGGCGATTATAAACTTGATAAAGCTTCTACGTTCTTGACTTCGGCTAACTTACACGAAAAAACACCTACTTTCTTGTGCTCTGCGTATGTTTAGAATTGTTAAGCATCAACTAAAATACTCAAAGATAAACAAGGACTGAATTAAGGAGAAAATGAACAGCAGGATATAACGAGTTATGCATCCAAATGATTTCAGAATTACTAATGTTGATTTATCCAACCCTTCAGTTGATGGCCTGCTTACAAGTTGGCCACATAAAGGTTCATGTTTTAACTTCAAAGTATGGAACTTCAGCTATTAACTTTGACATCAAAACTTGAAGGAAATACATTGTCACAACTCGATAAAAATTCCGTACAATGTTTTGTGTGAGAGAACTGAAGGATTTCAAAAGCTTTATGGGAGAATCATATGGCAGGCGACTTCACAGGACCTTATTCATAGAAAAGAAAGCTAAAAAAGACTTGTAGTTTCCTATATAAAGCAAAACAAAAAATTGGTGACATACAAATATGTTGACGTAAAGATTAATGTCAAAAAAGAGTATGGAACTTGGTTAGTTCAAATATAAATGTCACCCTTAGAATTTTAGCACTAGTTCAATTATTCTAATTACCACAGACACATTCAAGCACAAAATGGTTAGCAATAATACCAGGATAAGAGATTTCAACTTCAAGGATAACAAAACAAATGATCTCTAATCTAAAGAAAAGAATAACAGCTACAATATTCAGCACTAAGAAATTTTAAAACATATAATTAGATGAATAAGCAAGTAATTAACTAATTGCATGGAATTGAACCAAGCCAAAGATGAATTAAAAAATGAAAACATTACAAAATCATGAGGTTAGACGAACCCCAAGGCCACCCGAAACCAATATCTGGACTATGATTCTCACTATCTCGAACTTGCCACACAAACTCCCTCCTTTCGGAGGATAAGCCATAAATTATCTTCTTTAACAGGAAAGAGCACCCAAACACCTAATCTTAACGGGCTTAGGCAATCTAATCTCTCAAACAATATTCTTAAATCAAACTAAAATTCCCATGAATTTTTTAGGAGAGTTCATATTATCTCCGACAATTGCACTTCAATCTCTAAAAAATAAAAAAAAGAATGATGAACAAATAAGAGATAACAAGAATATTACTTTTCAAGGAGAGAATGATTGGATGAAAATTTTGTTTCTTCACATGAAAATTCCAAAATTATTTTACAATAAAATGCTTTGAATTTATTTTTTCAATAATCGTTCACTATTTATAATAATATGGTATATCCAGGCCTAAAGAACCCCTAAAATAATCACAAAAATCATTTCAAAAATACTTAACAAAATGCTTCCTAAAAGCGTCCCTAAAAAAGTTTTCAACAGGTCATTAAAAGAGTTCTAATGGCTAGTCAAACTATTTGTTATACAAAATCGGCCTGGACCGACCTCCAAATTGTCAAGACAAAATCCACTATAATCTGCTCAGGTTTTGGCAAATTTTGGCGAAAATAAGCAAGATTTTTAAAATTCATAATATATTTATTTATTATTAAAACTATATCATAAAATATATGAAATCAAATTTAAACATCTCAGTGAATCTAATGGGCTATGAATTAAGCTCAAATTCCTTTGTGATATACCCAACAAAATAATCCTTCACCTTATGACGTCATGAAAAGGGGTTCACCATTTGTACTATAAACATAGTGCTTAACTCTATGAATGAACATGCTAAAATATATATTAGTGTACTAATGAGTCTAAGTAGAAACACTCCTATGAAATGGTAGTTGTCTACACTATAAGGGTGTTAACTCTCCAACAAAAGCAGTGCCAAATTCGAAAGTTTGACCACACAAGAAAGCTAAACTGAATTAAGTAAATAACATAATTCTCTATGATGCCCAAGGAATGATATTAGCATGAATGAAAATGTATTAATTGTTATACTAAATTCAAGAAATGCATCACGATTCCATAATTAAATTGTCATATTCCCTCCAAGACATACCGAGCTTATCCTTGAATGATTATTGTTGATGTTTCATATGTTTCTTGCTACATTTATGTCACATATGATACATCTTCAACTAGTAAGTCAGCATAGGGTGGGGCAGGCATGAATTAGGGAAGATGTTCCCTGGGACCGACAGCCAGTGAAGACTATTAAGCTAAGGAACCAATAAGTATAGTAGATTGTTAGGTGCCAGACCAACAGGAGGAATAGCTAGTCAAATACCTGAGGCTTAATTTTTAAGAGTTCATATTTTCAATCAAGCCTTCATTAATAAAAGGTTATAAGTTAAATATCTATATTTCTTCTTTAAACATTAAAATTTTCATTCGATGTCTTTTAATTATCAACATTGTTAGAAAATGAAAGTTGCAAGAGCGTCAACCTTGGCGCACTATCTTTCAGGGGTGACACTCCCTCAAAGCCAAGCTACTAGAGGGCGTCAGTTTATGCTAAAGACTGGGCAAAATATGTGATCTGCCACTAATCCTAGGACATGTGATGTTTTCGAAGTCAATCAAGGCCAATCAAGCTCCTCTAGCCAGGTGGCCTCAACTGGTGGAGTCCAAGAGATAATGTGACATAATTGGTGTCAAATTAAAGGTATTAAGTGTAATCTATCTAATTGGGAGAGTATTGGTAGAATTAGTAAGCATTGATTGATCTTACTATGTGCATGGTATTAACATGTGATGTTTCGAAGATTGTGATAAGTGGTAATGAGAACAATATTATGATGAAAGTGACATCACCACATCAGGAGGCATCACATTCTACCAAGTTGACAACTTTTAGGGATGTCAAGAGCCATATGGACCGCTATCTAGAGTCAATGTCAACAAAGCCATCAATTACAACGATGGCGCAACCTAGGGGTGTCAATATTTGATATGACCCGAAAATCCGACCCAAAAATTCCGAGTTAGGGTCAACCTAAATCCGAAACGGGTCGGATTCGGGTTCAACAATTCGACCCGTTTCAAAAATCGGGTTGATTTCGAGTTGACCCTTTGACCTGAAAACCAATTTTTTACCCGACAACCGGAGATTGACCCGTTTTTTACCCGAAAAGAGGAGATTGGCCCATTTTTTAACTCGAAAACTAACAATTTTTTGTTGGCACCGTGTCATTCGGGCCGTGTCAGGTTGACCCGGACTCGAAGCGGGTCGGGTTTAGGTCCGACAAACGGGTTGAGTTCGAGTTGACCCGAATAGTGTCGGGTCAGTTTTGGGTTCGACCCGAACCTGACCAGTGACTCGAAATTGACACCCCTAGCGCAACCTATCATTGGCTCAACGGTGCTTCGGTCATGAGTTTTACATCTTTGATGTAAGAAGCAAGGGCATTGGCAACCGTAAGCACAATAAAGATAGACCTGTCAATTTCGGGTCACGGGTCGGGTTCGGGTCGAACCCGGATTGACCCGGTAATATTCGGGTTCGGGTAAACCCGACCTGTTTTTGTAAACGGATCGATTATCCGAACCCGAACCCGACCTGCTTTGGGTTCGGGTAAACCCGACCCGACCCGCGGACTTGGAAGTGGACCGACGGCGGCTGCAGCGGAAGAAAATTCCGGGTCGGGTTCGGGTCGGGTCAAATATTGACAGGTCTAAATAAAGATAAATGAACAAGCATTGGAGCTATGGGTGTAATTGAGTCAAGTTGGCTCATGTGCCGGTTCAAGCTTAGATTGAAAAATAGTTCATGAGTCAAGCTCGATTAAGCTAACGAGACAAATTTGAGCTAAGATTGATTTAATTCGTTAACTCGCGAGCCGGCTCATTTAAAAATTATATCTTATTTTCATATATTAATGTAAAATATACTTAAAATATATTTAAATTTAGGAGTTCAAGTGAAAGGTGATTAAAAATACTTAAAAATTATATCGCTTCCTAATATTAAATAATTATTTATTATTTATCTTCTAATTTCTCATTTTTTATCATTTAAATATAATAATTGCTGAAATCGTAAGCACTTTCAATTTTTCATAATAAATAAGTCAACTAATGAGCTAACTTGAACTCGTAGAATTAAACGCGAGCTTAAGATTGAACTCAATTAATTAATTAAGCTCAAGTTTAAGTCAATGGTAACTCTAGCTTGACTCGACTCATTTACACCCCTATTTAGAGTTATTCAAAAGTACTATTTACAAAATTTCTTGGACGAATATTCAACTCAAACTCATAACATCAAATGTCTATTTAATCCAAAAAATTATCAATAAGATACTCACACATATCAAACCAAACACAAGAGACTAAACATGAAAACCTATGGCAATATGCTATATTTCTCTAAACAAATAAGAAGTGGATATTCTATGCAAATCATGAAATTTTGGAAAAACATCTCTTTTCTTTTAACCCCAAAAGATAATTTTTCTCTAAATCTTACCCGTATTTAGGGAGGCCATGAATCCATAAGCATTGACTCAAAGTATTTCAAATTACATGAAAGATTGTGTTCAGCTATTCTCATCTTATATTTCCTTACCTAGAAACCTTAAGATTAAAATGCTGATGGACCTGTATCACCTATTGCTAGAATGGGAACCATTAGAATTAAATCTGGGCTCTATCTAAATTCTATTTTAAATGTACCAAACCACACTTGAAATCTCTAATCAGTAAGAAACATCAAAATAGTGCAATTGTAATTTTGTTTTCTCATCTAAATATTTGTGAATTTCAAGACCAAAGATCAGAGAAGAACATTGGTAGTCCTAAAAAGATTGGAAGTTTATACTAATTTGATGAGGATTTCAAAGATAATAAACCCACTATCATTATCAATAGAGAATTTTCTTCATTTGCCAAGTAAGATCAAATTATTTTATAGCAATATTAGTTAGGTGACTTAGGTCATCCAAATTCTTTGAATCTTAACTTCTTTTCTTCTTGTTTGAAAATAAAGCTGCCTTTTGATGTGAAATTTATAAACTCACCAATCACGTAAGAGTATCTTTAAGATATCATCATGCATAAGATATCTCGATCCTCAAGCCTATTTTACAAATTGATGGTGAAATAGATAAGGACATTTTTAGTATAATTCAAGTTGGATGGTTGAAGTAGAGGAATGTGATAGGACTCAAGTATTTCCTATCAATCTTCTGAAAACAACGAGAATTCTTCACAAAAATCCGCACAAAACCACAAAAACAGTAGATAATTTGTATTACTTGATGAAAGGGAAACGAAAAATAGCAAGATACAGTTGATCCTCTATTCGAGATGAGGATTTATCTCTCCCAAATCTCTAGACGCCGCTAGAGCCCAAAAGAAAACCTAAATATAAGAGATCTCAAATTTCAGCCAAATTCGAGATGCCTTAACCCTAGGAAATCAAGATATTTAAAGCATACAATTCAAAGGGAAATCTCTAAACAGCCCTTACATTCAAATTTCCCTCTTAACTCCCCAAAAAAAACTTCCTAAACCACTATTTCCAACCTGGCGGTTTGCACGATGCATGCAGGAGGCGGAGAGTTCCGCGCCTTTTCGCATGGGCCGATCCATATGCGATCGACTGGACCAGCCTAACAGAATGCATCGGGCCTATTGTGTTATAGAAAAGTGCCCTTGAAACTTAATAGAAAAATTTATAATATGATGGTGAGACCTACAATGCTTTATAGCGCAAAATGTTGGCCATTAAAAGAGAAGCATAAAAATAAGTTAAGGGGATGCATAAAAGAGGATGCTCAAGTGGCTGAGTGGCTTTAAAATTAGAAATTGAAAGTGAAGCGAGTATATCCGTGAATAGGTTGGAGTAGCTCCAATAGCAGATAAGATTAGAGAGAATTATCTTAGATGGTTTGATCACATAAAACATCGGCCTTCTGATGATCTTGTTAGTAGAGTTGATGTTTTAGATCTGAGCTATGTTATAGTAGAGGTAGACCTGAAAAGACTTGACTAGAAAGTATTTAAAATGATATCTTTTATTAGATTTAAATGAGAATTTGACTCTTAATAGAAAAAAAAGGTGAAAATGGATTCATGTAGCCAACCCCATGTAGTGGGATAAAAGCTTGTTGTTGTTGTAGTACCATACCTGTGTTGGTTGTACTTCATGAAAGATAAATTAGATGCAAAAAATATATTCAAAAACCCTAGACATCCAAATCCTTCATTTAGTTGGGAAGGCTGCACGAGCGGTGAAACTACATATAATTAAAAAACATGAGAAACTAGGCAAGCTACAGTCAAAAGGTTTGATAAATTGAAAGGGGTGTAATTTGCATTAATTTTATCAGCGTGTTCTTTTTTTTTTTTCAGCAGAATGATTCAACAAATGTGTGGTTTACAATATATACCATACAGTCAAAAGCATTAACATAAGTCAGAACTTGAAATACATCAATATCAAATTGTTGACACACTGATTCATAGCAAGCCAAAAAAAACAACCTTGCGGTAGATTGCTAGGGTCCACAATTGATTAAATAAACACAGAATGGGAAACTCCACAGCTGTAGACTTTCATGAATTACCTGATAACAACCAATAACAAGCAATCTTGGAAAGGTAGGATGGAATACACAAGAATGGAACTTATTTCCACTGCAGCTCAGCTCATGAGCACATTCTACCTCACTTCCTGAGCCAAGTGACCATACCCTGACGGAGTCTTCACTTACAGAAGCCAGATACTCACCAGTAGGATCCCAGCAAACAGAATCAACATGCATTGTATGTCCCTAGAGTACAGAAAGATGATAATAAAATTACATCCAAGTATTTATTAAAGGAAATAGGAGTTTGTTTAAATAAAAAGCAGAAAAAAAAAACTAAAATTTACAGGTGACAGCCCAAATAATAGAGAATTTTTAAATAGTGAGACAAACATTTTAATAATGACCATCAAACAGGATCAGATGAAACAAGCTCCGGAAAAAGAAAAGCTTTTTAATCGTCAAAGGAACTATTTATTGACAACTTGAACAACTTAGAATGATGTTTGTCCTGCATATCATACGGAAGATCGGGTTATTGACAAAAGACTTGAGAAAGCTGTCGTCTCCACATGCAGAAAATGTTCATAAATTTTACCACTCTCAGAAATACCAAAGGGGAAAACTGAATAAAAATTGGTGAACATTCAGCTCATTAATGTTCAAGATCAAGCTGGTAGGAAGGACATCAGTAACAGGAGACCAGTACCAGAGAACTTCAAAGATCCATAAAAAAAAAAAAGAAAGGTCCACTTGCTCGGATTTGCTGATTATTTCAATGGAAGTTCCAAATGATATGACATTTATTGCAACTACTGTGAAGGTCATCAAATATTTCCTTTGTAAAGGAAAATCTATAATCATCTGCCTTCGTCTGATGATTACCAAAAAAAATTACAACTCATTAAATAAGTCAGGCAGGAACATAAAAAGCCCAAATTTGAGAGGTATAGAAGCAAATGCAGGGCCATAAAGAGAATGAACACAGACGAATTCATAAGCAAAACCAGGAGAGTAACTGAAATCCTTGTGATAATCATAGCCATCTAAGGGGGACTAACTAAAATGCTAGAACAATCAATATCTTTAAGTGAAATAAAGAGACCAGTACAAGATAAAATTATAAATTCAAAGTTTCATCTGAAGGGGAAGGTTTCCTTGAGTGGATGTCGCATTCGAAGTGCTGCTGTATTGCTCGATAAGGTTCAATGTTGTTAGTAAAAAAAATGGCATTTATCAGGCTGATAGTTAAATTGATGTGAAACAATCTCATGCGAAAGTGATTTGCTTAAAGAAATTTGCACGTTTCGATTTAGAGGCAATAATAAGCAAGATCTTATGCGGAATTGAACGATAAGTTAAATATTAAAGTGATAAAATAGCTTAGGTCTAAACACATGCGAGAGGTTGAGATCATTAAATATTCAACTAAATCTTACTTTGCATACATGAGTGGTTTCAACGAGAAATTCCAATACTAACAATAAGATTAGTTGTTATAAGAAGATCCCTCACACAACTCTCCCTATTACTAGGTTCTAGCGACGAATAATTGACATGACCTTCATGAATCTATTAATAACCATAAACGAAAAGTAAACTATGAAGATAAGAGCGTTAGGGAAAGAGTTTCACCCAAGGGATGAAGTAATACAACGTTCCGGTGGTGCTTCGTTGGTTGGATCGGAAGTAGGTGGTGCTTGACAGCTTCTTGGATGACTTGGAGAGCCACAATCCTTGCTGGAGTCTTTGGACAGCAAGCAGGTGGCCTGGAGCAGATTTCGGACAGCAATTTTGGTTCTCAAGGATGCAGGACAGCAGTTTTCTGGACTACAAAATTCTGGACAGCAACTGGACGTAACTGGACAGCCACCTATAAGGCCTTGGAAGACCTTGGATAGCTGCTGTGGGACATCTGGAGCTTCTGGACAGCAAATAGCTATGTTCCAGGATGCAGGGCAGCAAGTTGTTTGGCTGGAGATCCCTAGATGCTGTGCAGGATTCAGCAAAATTTCGAGACAGCAACGTGACTCTGTCCAGAAATCTTGGCAGCCCGTTTGGGAGATGAAATTCAGCCAGTTCCTCCTATTGGGTGCACGTGAACATGAAAAGGGAGGGTGGAAAGTTGTGGGGAAAGCAATGGAGAGAACCTGGAGTCAATTCCCTTTGATTTCGGTTCAGGTTTGGGTGGCATTTAGTTGAGGAGCATAGGGGGGAAATCTGAAATTAATTTCAGATTTAGGGAGTAATTTGGAGCAATTGATTTAGAGATTTGAATTTGAAATTTGTGGAGTTTAGGAGGGAAAGTGGGGAGGGGATTGAATTAATTAGATCCTTAATTTGTGGGATCTAATTAATTAAATGGGGGATATGGGTGGCCGGCCATGGAGAGAGGAAGGGAGAGGAGTTGGGTATTAATGAGGTGGGCCCAAGTAATTAAGAGGATTGAATAGTTAAATCTGAAATTAATTTCAGATTTAAACTATTTGGAGGTTTCTCTTAATTTAAGGATGATAATTTAAAAATAGTTTAAAATTCAAATTTGAATTTGAACTTAATTCTATTCCTAAATTAGGGGAGCCAAATTAGGAAAGCAATTATGGGAAATTAAAGGGGAGGGAGATGGGGGAGGCCGGTGGGTTGGGATCTAGTGGATGAGGGCTCGTGAGGAGAGGTGGCCGGCGGTGGAGATGGGGACAGGCCGTGGTGGAGATGGTGGTTTTGGGAGGGGCGGCCGGCGGCTATTAGGCCAAGGCAGCCGGCGGCTATTAGGCCAAGGCAGCCGGCAGGTTGGGGGAAACAGGGGCTTGAGGTGGAGGAATATGGGAGAGAATTTGGGTGGTGGGAATGGCCGGTGGTGGAAACTATGGACGTAGATGGGTGGAGGGGGAATTCTATGCAAGAAGAAAAGAAAAGAAAGAAAGATAAGAGAGCCGCGAACCTTGGAATCCACCAAGATTGACGGGTATTGCTTTTGCCCTCACCTTGGGCTCTCCATAGAACTCACACAAAGATCTAGGAGAAGTGAACTCACCAAGAGATCAAGAAAATATGAACTCACAAAGATAACACAAAAGAGGAATTTCATTTTCAATCATCATCCTTTCCAAAAGGAAGGGGAAGGCTTAAATAGCCAAATACATGAAGGAAAAAGTAAAAGACATAATTGCCCCTAGGGCCACATAAGACAAAACCCTCAAGTGAGGGTAGAAAAGGAAAAGTACAAATAACAAATAAAATACATCAAGATAAGTAAACACTATCGTAGCCGTTGATCTTCGATGTCCTCATCATAAATGCCAGCATCGTGACACAGCTTCACAACCTGCTTAAGACAAAAAAGCTTGCAAAAGCAATACAGTACATATGCTTGCAGAAAACTCCTAAGCGTACGAGTACTTAATACCAGTACCAGCCCAGTTAAAGAGAATTATATATGCATTAGCAATCTGTTGAATTAACTACTACTGAAAAAGGAAAACAATTTAAGGATTCAACTATTCAGGACAAGATGTATAATTCAATAGAGCTAAGTAAAAGGAGACTGATAGAGGTAAAAATAAAGTATATTTAAAACCAGAAGCATCCATTCACAGGAATGTAGGGCCACCAAACCTACCTGTAATGAATGCCGGCAAGCCTGTGTCTCTACATCAAATATGGAAACTTTATTCTCACTGGCTGCTGCAAGATATCTACCCAAATGAGGCTGAAACCGCATTTGAGTGGTGCCACCCTGCAGACAAAATAAAAAATAGCAAGAAATATAAGTTACAGGAGTTACATAGGAATAAAATAAATGCATAAGCATGGCCCTTATACACTTTGCTGCTTACAAGCATATACATGCATGTAATCACCATGGCATTTATGCACTCCACAATCCTTTTTGGTATAGATGGTGAAGCAATATAACGTTTAGGTTTCCTCAAGTAACTAGAAAAATTCAATGTATATAGATCACAAAAAATATTCCGATTCGAATATTATAGACCAATAATTATGAAAAAAATTTGCTTCTTTTCTAACATGCAAATCAGTAAACACGAGAATTAGAACTCAGATGATAATGCAATGATTGAATAACTTCAAACAAATCAATGAGAAATTTGAGCAATGTAAATAAACAAGCAATTGCAATCCATTCAACACAATTAACATATCAATTGTGTTATATTTGAACAAAATAAAAAACATCAGCAAGTTAATAACAAGATATTTAGAATAAATTAGATAAAAGAAAACATTCATCAAAATTAAAAAAATCAAGCCCAACATTAAGAAAATAACTTGGCCTAGAATTATGTAGTTGCATTGGCGTCGCACTAGAAGGAATCAGGCGGACATCTTGTACATACATTATTAAAAACATGAGAATAAGATTTTCTTCAATCAAAGTTTTTCAATTACATGTTTCAAATCATCTATTTGTAGATGTCATATTCTTGGGTCAGTACATATAGTTCATAGAAGATCAACCCAGTTTAATATCAAATAACCATCTGATGGGGACATCAGATCATGGAAGGTTTATGAGATGCGTGGCCGCCGATCTATGGCCACGATTGAGTCATTGTATTTTTTTTATTTATTTCATGTATTTTTTTTTTATTTATGATGTCATATCGTATTTGTTTTATTTAGTTTCCCGTTGTATCCTCTTATTAAGGGATGTCGTATGTAAGCCCTGAGGGCGTTGTCGTCTTTTCAATTTTTTGAGTCTTATGTAAGAAGCTATTTATAGCTCCTATATTTCTCTTTGCAAGTTAATGAAGAATTATCAAAAAAAATTCTGCACTTGTTTTCTTGTGAGAGCTTGAGAGTCATGGAGAAAGATCCCAAGGAGATGGAGGAATTGTGCATCACCCACCAACCTAGATAAGTCGGGTTCGTGGTTCTACTTCTTATCTCTTCCTCTTCCTCCTCCAATCTCCACCGCCGGCATTACTCATTTCCTGAACCCTTAAGCCGTTTGGCATTTAAAACTTCCCCTCCACCCGACGCCGATACCTAACCCGCTGCCCCATCCATGGCCAACCCCCACTGCCAGCCTCTCCTTGGCCCCTCCCTCCTTCCCCAACTTGCTATCAATTCTTTCCTAAATTAGATTTCACAAATTTGACAGCTCTTATTTGAATAAATTCAAATCAATTTGAATTTCAAATAGTTACTTAAATTATAAATCTTATTTTAGGAAACCTATTAAATCAATTCTTATTTAAATTTTAAATTAAGAGAGGATGAGATATTTCTTTCCAATCTTGATTTATTGATTAAGCAAGCATTAATTACCACATTAAATCACTTCCTCCCTCTATAAGCCGCCGGCCCCCCTCCTAGGATTTGAATTAAATTAGTTTCCTAATGCTACCTCCGTTTCCTGGAAACAATTCAAAGTCTTTCTCTGAACCAATTCTCCAAGAATCCACGTCAATTTCTATCCACAAATTTCAGCCTCCCGAATTGGAAATAATTCCAAAACCTGGCCACAATCCAGCCGCCCCCTCCCTAGCCATTTTGCTGGGTCTTATCTCTCCAAAACCCTCCTAAAGCTGACCCAATTCATAATTTTCCTGCTCTCCAAGTTACTACCAGAGTTTCCTGCACCTACCACTTGGTTTGCCTTCAACTTGAAAGCTTCCAAAGGCTGCATTAAGAGAGCAGTTTGTTGTCTAGTTCCCACCGGCTCCCTGTCACAATAGTATCCCCGGCAAAGCTTGTCCTTGCCATCCAGCACTTCCCAAAGTCAAAACAGCGACTTCTCGCATGGATGGCTAACCCGGAGACGGATTACAGCATTGCCTACGACGAACACGGATTCGTGCACATTCTCCATTCAACCTTTTTCGACGTCAACCCGAGGATCGACCATACGATGGAGGATTACATAGAATGTATTTTGGACACCCTAGTTGAAGCCAATGTTTAAAATTGCGCAATTGGGTATTGAGGCATTTTTTGTTCGTGAGGTGAGGCATAAGCCTCAAGGCGTTTTGAGGCGTAAGCCTCAAAATCTAAAAATAGCGTAAAGTCAAAAGTTATTTTTTATATAATATTCAAATAATATGTTAAAGAATGACATATTAACTTTCTATTGAATTATGAAGTAAGAAATTACATACATGAGAAATAAAAAATTGTATAAGTTGTAAAGTGTTAAATGAAAAATGATATAAAAATAGAGTTGAAATCCAAATATTACATGAACAAAACAATATAAAATATATGAACGGCATAAAAGTATCCTATAACATCAAGTTCAACTCTAACTTTTTTCTTTCTTAGTTTCCTACTCATCTACGTTGAATTACTATAGAAAGCTGAAATAATTGACAACAACTTAGAAATCATTTGTATTATCGTTACAAAGAGGATTTTTATTTGAGTTACTATCATAACAAATTGGTTTCTTCCCGGTCTCATCCTGTAGGGTCCAATACTCTCAATCTTTTCTTCTTTATCTATTTCAGTCATATTCATTTTTCATAAATGTTTATCACTAACATAAATATAATACTCTAAAATTTTAAGAGGAGATGGTGGTGGCATGCGGCTTTTTAATGATCTCTTGCGGCGGCTACGATGGTGGTGGCTATGGTGAAGGCAGTGGGTTGGAGGTCGAGGTAATTGAGAGGAAGTTGTTGAGGCTTGGGGGTGCAAGAAGGCATGATTTTTTGGGGGCTTTTGTATAAAATTTAGGTAATTTTTAAATTTAAAAAATTCATAAATATAGTGAGGCGTACGCCTCATGCCATCGAGGCGAGGTGCACCTTAAGGCGGACCTCATGCCAGCAAGGCGAGGCGCGCCTCATCCAAGCTGAGGCGTAAGCCTCATAGAAAAGCTAGAGGCGTAAGCCTCGAGGCGTTTTTTACTGGAATTGCGCTAAGGCAGGCTCAAGGCGAGCCTCATATTGCGCAATTTTAAACAATGGTTGAAGCTATTGAAGAACAACTTGAGATCGTCGAGTGGAGGATCGCACCCGGCCCTTGACAAAGGTTTTCTAGTTTTCTTTTTCTCGTATCTCTCAAGTCTAATTCTTTCTTGTGACTTGATTGCAGTCATGAAGGTCGCATTCGCCTGAATTTGCCGAGCTTAGTAAACGTAGGGAATTGAGTGCACTTCTTTGCTTTTTACATCTTATTGGTAGATTAGGGATTTCGTTGAAAGCTACTATTTTGCATAATATTGTTTTTCCTTCAATATTTTGATGGCTCAAATCTCTTGGTATGTAACTTGGCCTAAGCGGAAGTAACCACTCATATGTTTTGATTCATCATTTTATTTGCAAATAAGTTCCTTTGTTATTTCTCTAATCAAGGATTTGTGAAATTTCTTAATAAAATCATTTGCAAGCATCGTAGTTCTACATCACCATCAAACTCAAACATGATTTCATCCTAAATTTAATTCCAGAACGAGCCTGAAATTTTAAAAAATGAAAGTGCAACCGGAAAAGGTCAACAAGTAGTTAAATTGCAGCGTGAAATAGAAACTACACAAATAATTGTGGTGCATAGAAATCATATCAAACAACTTTTTTTCATTTCATTCTTGTAGATTGTTAAAGTATCAAACGGTAGGAATCAACAGTCCTACGTCAAATAGAGCCACTAAATAAAAGCGTGTTTTAAGCCGTTTTATAAAAAAGCAAAATCGATATAGAAAGTGGGGAATGGACAACACCTAGTCAGTAGTCACTAGGAATATATGCTCCTAAAGCCTCTAAATGATGCTGAGATGCCTAGGACAACAAGCTACATCAATGTACTAAGTTGTCTAAGTGTTGTGGGGGTTTACTAGGGTGTGGACAGCAACTACACACTTGTTTAGAGTCACCTTAAGGCTAGCAATGGGTCAATTGGGAAAGTTGTAATGACAAAGACAGCACTTAGATGATGCAATATGCTTGCTTAATATGATAAAAAACATGCAGAATTTTACTGGACAGCAATGTAAAACAGAGAATTTATAACAAGTAGGCAATGGTACGCATGCAAACGAGTTTCACAATTGTTTAACTAGACTCCTAGGAACTTCTAGAACATGCAAGACATGCTACCATGCTCTGATACCAAAATGATGTGATGCAAGCTTGGAGTTACATAAGATTATAAAAAGAATTTACTAAAGTTTAACCTTTATAAAGTTATGCGTCAATTCCAAGTTAGTTACAAGAATTCTCAGTATTCCACTTGCTTAGGCAAATAGTTGTATGAAGATTAACCAAGACAATTTAATCTAATACAAAGGCAAAGTAATGTAAGAGCTTAACACACAAATCCAAAAGTTAATAAGGAGTTGTTCACCTTGAGGACCAACTCTCTTCCCTACGAATCTAGGTTGAGCGGAGGAAGATCATCCACGCTAGAAATGAGGTAGCCACTAGGACGGACGAGCCGAGGAACGTCGTTGTTGGGAAGGTAGTTGGAGGTGGCATGGGTGGATGACCGTTGATGGTCCACTCGTAGTCCGAGAATTGATCGTCGATGACGTCCACAAGGGTGGGGAGGATTCGGTTCAAGTAATCTTCAACGTTGTCGTCAAAACCAAACCCGACGTCGAAGAATGGTGATCGAACGATGTGGATGTCTCCGTAGACGTCGAACACGAATCCGCTATCAACTTCGGGATCCGTCATGCATCATTTGCCGGGAGATGGAGGAGCAAAGACGGGAGCAAGGAGAAAGGAGGGTGGATGTCGGTGGCCGGCGTGAAGTCTTGGGGGAATCGGCTAGGATGGGAGAGCAATAGGTGCTTGCAGGAAATCTGAAGTAATTTCAAATTCTAGACGTTTGGGGAAAGGATTTAAGTTGAAAATTCAAATCAAATCCAAGAGGGGAAGAGGGGCGGTAATGGAGGGGATTTGAGGCTGATTTAGTGGTGATTAGGAGTTAATTGGGAGAGAGAAAAGGCCCATTAATGGGGCCGGCCATAAGGTGAGGGGAGAGAGGTTTAAGAATTAAGAAAGTGGGGCCAAGGTTTAATAGCTAATTCGTAATCAAATCTGAAATTGTAATTTCAGATCTGATTATATTTTAAGTAACTTTCCAAATTAATAGGATATGAGAGGGAAAAGAATTTGAATTTCAAAATAGGCTTTAATCTCCTTAAATGTCTTTCCTAAATAGAGGAATATTAATTAGGAAATTAATTTAATCAAGGATATTTGAAATTCAAACGGAGTTGGATCAAGGGGGTAAGCCGGCGGCAAAATGGGAGGCTGGGGATCGGCAGGCTGGGGCTCACGGGTGGCTGCCAGCCGTGGGAGCTGGGGTCAGCAGAGGGGGCCGGCTGCTGGAGGGTGTAATTGGCCGGCGGCCAAAGGCCTGGGCGATCCAATGAGGCCGGCGGAAAGGAGAAATATAGTGAGGAAAAAAAAACAAAAAGCTTGGTGAAGGATAAAAATTTGGAGAAATCAAGGAATTGCTAACCTCACTTACTTCTTCCTCAAGATCTCACAAGGAGGTCGTAGGAATGTCGGAACTCGCACAGAGATCCACGAAACTCCCTTCTCAAGAACTCACGAAGAGAACTTAGGAAAATGTAGAACTCACAAAGAGATCGATAAGTAGAAATTTTCATTCAACAATAATCAATCCTCATACATGATAAGAGAGCCATATATATAGGCTTCCAAATGACAACTAACACAAAAGACTAGAATGCCCCTTGGGCTACAATAGCGACCAACTACCCATAAGGGCAAAAACGGAAAAACTGAAATAAAATGCTTAATACATAAAATGCTAATGCAGATAAGCATAAAAAATAAAGACTATCCATCATGCTATCGATCTCCTGTGAAGCCTCTGATAAATGCGTCGAAACCTCTTATCGATGTCCCCATCACTTATTGACTTGTCATTAAATTGATTTGAAGAGTTTTGCTAATTTTATGTGAGCCATGTTAATTAAGTTGTGGCTTATATCCATTTTAAGGTTCAATAAGAAGAATTAAATTGAGCTATCATTCTAAACTTTGATAAGAATATTATGAATTGAATCTCCACTCATCACAGATGCCAAACAGACCATGACTCATTACTTCAAGTATAAGAAGAATATAATGTAGACATAATTGTATTGAACTTAGAATGGCTATTAGAGTGGGTAGTATGTTCTTATGCTATGGACTAGATACCCAAGTTATGGGTCTCACAAACGAGCTATGAAGAGAAGGTAGGCCAATTGGTGCGTCTTATAACCTAATTCTATCGGCAATGACGTTTTGAAATGTGATGTAATGTATATTTTAATGCATGTATTAATGAGATGACTTAGTATGAATCTTACAACAATTGAGAGAGATCAAGATCAAACTCAAGTCATTATCCTCTTTGTCTGATAAATTGAGTCAAATATTAATATATTCGAGCTATGGACCTGGGTGTTTATAGTAATTTAGTTCTTAAAAGGGCATTTAGGTGATTTATTATCCTCAAGATGATTTTATAGTTTTCTTGGGTTATTCAATATTCTATTAAGACCCTAGGATTTGATTTGGGATCATTTGGATGCTATGGTGCATTTGATCACTTTTTAATGTATCAACAAATTTTTAGTAATGAATATACCATAAAAAAATTAATCTCTCTTTTGTATTATTTAAAAACATTTTTTATAAGATATCATTTCTGCTGTGGTGCATATGCCCCAATATATTTGTGAACTATTAGCATGACCATCATACATTGAAAAAAAAAATCATATATTTATTTACCATTCATAGACATGTACATTATTCATAAGTGATTTCTACCTCTGAAAATACCCTATGAGATATCATCGTAATTCTAATTAAGAGCAATTTTTTCATTTTGAATTCGTTTACATAAGTCGATTTTGCATTTAATGTAACTGCAATTTACCAACAAAGCTATTTTTGGCCAATTGTTGAAATTTGTCTATAAACAGGTGGTGCTTACACCTATGTGTTGCAGGTTTCACTGGGGCCAATTTTGACTTGCAAATTTTATTAATCCTATTTGTATAAACCTTAAATGCCATGTGAAAGATGTTAACGCATGGTTTTAACTAGTCCAAGCTACTACCCTAATATTCATGCATGTTAAAACCAAGTTTCCCTCTCACAAGCCAACCCTATCTCATCCAGTTGATAAAGGATTTTTCTTATACTAAATAGGTCGCGAGTGAGGAATGGCCTGCAGAAGGAGAGGGATTAAAAAGTTTCCCTCTCACAAATGGTCATAAATAGCAGTTATATTCCACAAAAATAACAGATCGTTAATATTAAATCCATAGAAAATTTTAGTTCAAGATTTGTTAAATTGAAATATTTGTTATATTTGTACTTTTTGTTTAATTATTAACTAATTTATTTGTTAGTTTTATAATTGTCGGTATCATTTTGTAATTTAAGTTCCATTCATACGATTGTTTCGAGGGTTGTCAATTATTGACCCAACCCGATAACCCGACCAAAACAATCCAGGTTCGGATCTACCCGTTTAACAAACGAGTCTGGTTCGGGTTCCAATTTATAACTTGTTTAAAAAATCAAGTCGGGTCCAGGTCAACCCCCTAATTCCAAATTTGACCCATCCCCATCTGAACTAGCCAATCACCCCAACGCATCATCTTACCCCGGACTCGAGTCTCTCGCACCCCAAGCACCAGTAGCCTCACTCGTAGCACTCGCCCCAAACTTGCGCACAGAGCTCGCCCTGAACAAGCACACCCACGCTCGCACTTACGCCTGCGGTCTCGCTCGCAAAGTTCTGCACGCAGCCCGTGCTGGAAGCTTGTGTGTCGTGCTCTCGCACAGGCAAGTAACGGGTCTAAATTTCTGACCCATTTACAAAACTGGGTCAAGTACAGGTTAGCTGAATTGGGGATCGAGTCAATTTAGGGTTCGACCTGCCCGAATACCCATTTTGACACCCTAATTGTTTCATCCAAACCTATAAAACACGATTACACAATCCTTATGTTTTCTTCATACGTTTAGGCCCTAGCATGATTTTCCTAATAATACATGGACATTGGTGAAGGTGTTGAGGAGATATCACAATTGGATGACTCCTCTCCATGATTTTGGTGGCTCTTATCATGTTCAAAAAGTTGTGAATTATGCTTTGGAAGAGATGTCATGGTGTGAAGTGACTTGAGCCATAAGAAGGGCTCCAAGACGCAATGAAAGCTGCCACAGTGGGGAAAGGTGAAATTTATGCCATCATGTTTCAAGAGGGAGAGATGGAGCTCTGTGAGGGTACAGTTCTTACTGTAGCCATAAACGATGTCATCTTTTAGTTTTCATATGCTCAAGTTTAAGATTACCTTCCTTGCAGTATGAGGTAGAACATTCTCAAAGAGAGATCTAGAGATCAGGTATGTCGCATAGACAAAAGATTTTCAAAGACAGGGAAGATGTCTAAGCAAGGAGACAGATACACATGAGAGCAATACATAGATCAAGTGTTAGCTTGACATAGGAAATCAAATGCAATGAGAGCGGGAAAGAATTAGGGATGTCTATGACTTGGGTTGACAGGATTTTGGGACTGGAGCAAGGAGACACGAGTTAGAGAGGAAGCACAAAAGTGAGGCATGCATGGAGATAGAAAGCGAGCAGACCATTACATAGGTGTGGCAATAGCATTAGGAAATGAAAGAGGACATATGAATGTCCGATAAAGGGCAAAAGCGAAAGCTAGGGATGAAGTTAGAATGTAGGAGAAAGTGGACACGTTGGTGCGAAATTGGTAACCAAGCAAGCAAGGACATCGAAACCGTGCAAATCAAGAGTGAGAGTTGGTATTGTTAAAATAAAAAGAAGAGGTAACAAATGATTCTTGATTAGGAGAATATATCAAAAATTGTGTGACCATGGAGCGAGAGATATTGTAGGCATTTGTAATAGGAAATGCGCGATCATGCACGATCATGTAGCAGAATATGCACGAATCCGAGGGAAGCGAAGTCCTTGCATATATGCTAAGGATTCTTGATGATGTAGGCTTAGGATCTAATTTTGAGGCAAAAAAAAAAAAAAGACCATTCATATTTTTCAATATCATTGAAACAATATGCCACTAACTTTCCGTACATTTTCACAATCAAACTTTTGCATGCTTGAAGCTTCACCAATAAAGCATATAGATAAGTTCACATTTTTTGTAAATGTCAGTCCTAGGAACAGTTCAACTTATGCAAGTGTCAAAGCACCTTCAGAACAGAAAATAGCAAGAAACCATTTACAAGCTATAAACATAAGTCAACAAAGAAAGAGATTAATAATTCAAAGATTTCTAGCATTATTCAAAAACACTTCAAGAGATTTTTATTGTTAGACCTTAAATAATACAGTGCATTTCAGTTGGAGATCATAATACAATCAGTTTTATTAAGTTTGATCTATGATCATAAATTGATAAAGCATAAAGAAAGTATTTCCCCGTATTTTTCTTCAACTTTAAATTAATTCTAGATCAAATTTCAAGAGCCATAGAAAGAAGATGAAACAAAAAATATAAAGTTGACAGATCAATCAACTTGATATACCTTGAAAACGCGAGTATAGTTTCCATTATTGATACTCCAATAACGGATTTCCCCATCACCATCGCACGAGCATATAAGGTCATCTTTAGTCGGGTGGAAGTCCAAAGACATAACAGATGCGGAATGTCCAGTGAAAGTACGCAACGAATAGCCAGGCTGAAAAATCACAGCATGCAATTAACTTATCATCCAATATGCTGGATATTCTTTAAAAAGAAAAGGAAAAAGTCATAGTATAACACCATTAACCATAAATATTGTAGCACACCAAGAAAGATGCTAAGTAAAAATTTTATGAAATCTCTTTATGAATAAAAGTACATTCACTAAACTCACACAAAAATTCAAAGATTAAAAATCAATATGTTAGAAAACTGATAAGTCTGGTGGGATCAAACAATGAAATGAATATCTAACAGAACAAAGGCAAAAGCTAGCAAGCCATTAAAAAAGAATAATTGCTTATGAGGAAATGAACGCAACAAAAAAAAAACATTAATCAATGAACAAATAAAATAATAGCAAACAGGTCAAGCAAAATAAAAGACACAGTTTATATGGTTCAACTAAAATAGTTTCCTGATCCATGAGAGAAGACAGGAAATGATCACAATGCCGAACCACAAATCCAAGTATTCTCAATCTCACTGCAAAAGAAACTAAAAATCTTGCAAGCAAAACAAATAAGAAAATTTCCTAATATCTCCCAGAAATATAAGAACCATATAAAAAGATAATAATGCATGAATCTAAATCAACCAATATGAGCTATTCTCAAAGAATCAAGTTGTTTCAATTGTATGCAGTTGAGAACTTTCATAGTAAGAGAATCTACAATAAGAACAAATTTAATGCCGTTGAAGAAGTACATGGAAGAAATCTAGGGAAGTAGAAATCACAAGCCAACCTAATATTAGTTCTCATAAAAATGGATTAATTGAGGAACAACACCCACAAGCTTCTTGGCTGACTTGTTTGACATCATTTCTAAAGCTTTTAATAAATCTACTTTAGATTTTAAAACTAGTACTATTATAAGAAAATGAAGTAAATTTGAAAGAAATCCATTACCCCGACCTCCATCAGCAGCTACTACATTTTTAAGAGTTTTATAGCATATACTTCATGAATTGAGTACAACAACACAACATCAAGCCTTTATCCCAATATGTGAGATCAGCTACATGAATTCTTTTTCTCCATTATGAACTATTAAGAGTCAAATTCTCATTTAAATATAATAAAAAGGCCACTTCTAATAAATTCTAACCAAGTCTTTGAAGGTCGTCTACCTCTATCTTTCTTAACATACGTCATATATAATACATCTACTCTCCTAACCGGGTCATTGGAATGTTAACGCTTTATGTGACCAAACCACCTAAGGCAACTCTCTCTAATATTACCTACCAATTGAGCCACTCCAACCTTTCATGTATATACTCGTTTCGCATTTTATCTCTAAGAGTAAAGCCACACATTCACCTAGAGCATCCTCATCTCAACAACACTTAACTTAGTTTTATACTTCTCTTTTAATGGCCACTGCGTCATAAAGCATTACGGGTCACACCACCATCCTATAGAATTTTACATTAAGTTTGAAGGGTACTTTTCTATCACACAATAGGCCTGATGCATTCCTCCATTTCAACCATCCAACTTGAATTCTACTAATAATATCCACATCTATTTCAAAATCACTTTGAACAATAGACCCGATATATCTAAAATATGTACTCTTTTTAATGACTTAAGCGCCCAAAGTCGCATTCCCTCCGCTATCTTTTACCTCTAAAAATACACTTGATGTATTAGGTTCTAGATCCAATCAAATGAAAACCATTAGACTCTAAGATTGACAGCCATATATCAAGTTTCCTTCAACTCCCTCTCTAGACTTATGATGGACCGGCGGCTGAGCCGATGGGCCCCACTAGGTGGATGGCAGCATGCAAGAAGAGAGGGGGGGATCAAGGGGGAATAATTTCACCTATAATTACTTACCATAGAAAACCAAAATTGAGAGGGAATTAGGAAAGATTTATTTAGAGAAAGAGGACTGATTTGAATTCAGATTTGGGAGAAAATTAGCAAAGAATTATTAAAGGAAAGATGGCTAATTTGAATTAAAATTTGGGAAGTAAATAGGAAGACATATACTAGAGTTAATTCAGTTGTTTTATTTTCATTATGTGAATTGTGTTTTGCTATAACTTTCTTTGGAGTTGTTTCTAGCGACACCTAGGGTTTTTGGAGAGCCGACTACCTTTGAATAGTAGATCAACTTAAATCTTGATTTTTTTAGCCGAAATAAAAATCTTTCTCACTGATTTCTAAAGTATTTTCTATTCGTTATAATTATTTTAGTTGTGAGGGGATCGGATTCTTATCAAATTAGTATCAAAGCACGATTCGTGAACTTTGGCGTCGAAGAAAATTGATGCTTTTGAAGAGAAACTAGGAGCAGTTGGCCAACTCAAATCTGAAGTTGAGGAACAGATTTCATCCATGGAAGCAAAGGTTTTTTTAACCAAGATGACATGATAAAGAAAATATTGGAGCTTCACACTCATGTGGCAACATCGGAGGCAAGTACACTGGCGGGGGGCCGAGGAAGTGGGGAAAACCTCAATATTGGCACAATAGAGAATGATCAAAAGGTAGAAATATTGGGTAACAGGGAAAATACGCCACCTCTTGAACCAATAACTAATAGGAAGATGGGTGAAGAACATGGCACGAGGAGAAATTAAGAGGAAGAAAAGAGCAAGGCTGATTTTGAGAAAGAAGATTTTATGAAAGGAGGGGTGGGAGAGAACAATGGAGTGATCACAACAATCACCACATATGAGGAGCTGAAGGTGGAAGAGAAAGTTGGGGCGAAGGGGATCCAAAAGTGAGAAAACTGAAGATGCCCGTTTTTTAGGGGAAGATGTTCATAGGTGTATTTATAGGGTGGAGAGGTACTTTGCAGTGAATGGGCTAATGAAGTAGAGAGTCACGGCTTCAGTTTAGTCTTGGCTTCTTATCTCATTCTTCTATCCACAAGTTTCCACTCTTTCTTCTCAAGTTATTGGAGGTGTTGGTTGGCCGATTTGATAGCATTTGCCGGAGGAGTTTTGTGGTGGACGTTGGCCCAAGTAGCTGTGGTGGACCCTTGGTTTGCATGTCCTTAAGCACTTCTTTTATTTTACCTACTATTTCGTTGCATGTGAGGTGACCGCTAGTCGGTTGTTCTGAGGGTAGCTTGTTTTAATTTAAATTTAGTCTTCGTTTTGTTTAACTTTCGTATATTTTGAGGTTTATTTGGTGTTGGCTTTCTAAATTTGAATTGAGAAAAGTTTTACTAGCCCTTGTGTTCTCCTTTTGATTTTTCTATCTAGTTGTCTGCATCAAGTTTGGTATCAGAGCCTAGGTTAGCATATCCTAGGTTGGTGTGTGAGTTTTTTCTTAAAAAACAAGAATGGCTAATCAAAATAATCAAGGGGATTTGCAGCAAATGATGCAACAATTGACTGATTTACAATATCAAATAAATTACATGGCTAACACACTTGCAAATTTGAATGTCAACAATGCTAATGCACAAAATTCTAAAAGTGAAGAAGAAATCCCTAGGAATCAAAGTAGACATCACAGGAATTGGGATCATGAGATAAAAATCGATGTCCATAACTTTGAAGGTAAGCTACAACCCGATCAATTCATGCAAATGGGAAGAAAAGATGGACCAATTTTTCAAATGAAAAAAAATACCTGATAGTAGGAAAGTTAAGTTTGCTAGCTTAAAACTCACTGGTCATACATTAACTTGGTGGAAGAACCTTTAAAATAATAGACTAAGGCGAGGAAAAGATAAAATCCAAAACTGGGATAGAATGAAAGAAAAAATGAAAGGAAAGTTTTTGCTTTCTGATCACTCACGAACCATATTCCAATAATTTAACAATCTTCGTCAAGGAAATCAAACAGTTGAAAAATATATTGAAACCTTTTATAAACTCCAATCTCAAAACGACTTAGATGAATTTGAGGAGAGAATTGTCACTAGATACATTAACAGATTAAAATGGACAATTCAAGATCAATTAAACTCGCACCATATAATCAAATTTGACGAAGCTTATCGAATAGCCTTAAAAATTGAAAAGCAACATCAACGATGTCAAAACAAGCCACCTGAAACTTATAAGCGACAACAAACTGGTGGGATTAAAATTCAATCTTCAAAACAACCTGTGGGAACATCTGGTGTGCGAACAAAAACATTTGAAACTCAAACTTTAGATAAAGGTAAGGGATTGATGGGACCCAAACCTACTGAACCACCCAAGCTGATTGGACCATGTTACAAATGCGAATTGTATGGGCATCTTTCAGTTGCTTGTAGGAAAAACAACCCTCACAGAATTAATTATATTGAAAATGACGAAGAATTAGAGGAAGAGGAAGATGAAGAAGAAAATTAAACTAAACCCGAAAATGAAATTGAGTTAGAAAGGGTGGACGTAGAAGGCGACCAAGGTGACAAATTCTTAGTAATCCAATAAATCCTAACTACCAAAATGGAAAATGGGGATAAATGGATTAGGAAAAACATCTTTCAAACCACTTTCACTATTAAGAAAAAACTTTGTACTTTAATGATTGATAATGGGAGTTCAAGTAATTTTGTCTCACAACTAGTGGTAGATAAGCTTAAGCTAAAATCCAAATCTTACAAAATCTCTTGGTTCAAAGAAGGAGATGAAGTTCCTATCACAAAGCAATACATAGTTAATCTATCAATTGGAAGCTCTTATAAGGATCAAGTTGTTTGTGATATTGTGCCTCTTGAAGTCTGTCACATCTTATTGAGTCGTCACTAACAATTTGATCATAAAACAATTCATAATAGGGAAAAGAACACCTATACTTTAATTCAAAATAATAAGGAATTCACTTTGTATCCTCAAAAGCACATTCCAAACCCACCTGTCAAAAATACCAAAACTGCAAAAACAACCACTCCCGAACTACTCATTAACACAACAACAACAACAACAACCTCTTTTAATGGCCAACATTCAGCACCATAAAGCATTGCAGGCCTCACAACCATCTTATAGAATTTTCCCTTAAGTTTGAGGGATACTTTTCTATCACACAACAAGCCCGATGCATTCCTCCACTTCAACCATCCAACTTGAATTATGCTGACAATATTCCCATCTATTTCACCATCACTCTGAACAATAGATGCAAGATATCTAAAACGTGTACTCTTATTAATGACTTGATCGCCCAAAGTCACAATCCCTCACTAGGTCTATTACTACTAAAATTACACTCCATAAATTCCGTTTTAGATCTACTCCTTAACACAAATGTATTGAAATAAACTGAGATCGCATATTTGATGTTAGGAAAAGAGTCTGATCCAAGCTCTCAAATTCCCAAAGAAATACAACATTTAATCGATAAATTTTCTGACATAACCGCTGAAGAGTTGCCAAAAGCTTTGCCCCCAATGAGAGATATCCAACATTATATTGATTTAATCCTTGGAGCAACATTACCTAATCTTCCCCATTACTGAACGAGTCCAACTAAACATGAAGAACTTCATAAGAAAGTAACTGAACTTTTAGAAAAGGGTTTAATCAAAGAAATCTTAAGTCCTTGTGTTGTGTCTGCTTTACTTACACCTAAAAAAGATGGAATCTGGAGGATGTGTGTGGATAGCTGTATCATAAATAAAATAACCATCAAATATAGGTTTTCAATCCCTAAGCTCGATGACATGTTAGATATGCTAAGTGGTGCAAAAATCTCTTCTAACATTGATATGAGAAGTGGGCATCATCGGATTAGGATTAGACCTGGTGATGAGTGGAAAACTGCGTTCAAAACCAAGGAAGGATTGTATGAATGTCTAGTTATGACTTTTGGATTGTTTAATGCTCCTAGTACATTTATGAAATCAATGAATCATATCTTAAGGTCTTTCATAGGAAAATTTGTAGTTGTGTACTTTGATGATATTCTGATTTACATCACTCACCCTTTTTAGCACCTTAATCATGTGAAACAAATCCTGCAAACTTCAAGAGAACAAAAACTGTACATCAATCTAAAGAAATGTTCTTTATGACTATAAGTTTGACCTTTTTAGGGTATATCATGTCTGCGAAGGGAATTAAAGTTGATCCTGTTAAAATTGAGGCAATTCAAAACTGGCCTACTTCTAAGAATATCAGTGAGGTGAGAGGGTTTCACGATCTAGCTTCTTTCTATCATATATTCATAAAAAACTTCAGCACCCTAATTGTTCATATCACTGACTGCTTAAAAAAAGGAATCTTTAAATGGACACATGAAGCTGAACAAACTTTTCAAATAATCAAAACAAAAATGAGTTAAACTCCCATTCTTAGTTTGCCAAATTTTGATAAAATCTTTGAAGTTGACTGTGATGCCTCACATATTGGTAGCTTAGGGAATTTACTTAGATGTCTTGCTGATGAGAAACCTTCCCAATGGAATTTGATCCTACCCCAAGCTGAGTTTGCATATAATAATTCTGTTAATCGATCCACTGGAAAGACTCCTTTTGAAATAATTTATGATCAGCCAATTCCTCACACATTTTGGATAGAACTTGTTTACCCTTGCCTAACAAAATTAGTGCTGAAGCCACATAAACTGTTGCTCATATTAAATCAATCCAACAGCAAGTCCTCGAAAAACTCCGTATGGCAAATGTTAAATACAAATCTGCTGCTAACAAACACTGAAGGGAATTTTATTTTCAAGAGGGTGATTTTGTTATGGCCTATTTTCGTCGTCAGTATTTTCCTGTTGATACTTTTGGCAAGCTAAGCCGGAAGAAGTTTGGACCTTTTCGTATTCTGCGAAAATTGGGCACGAATGCCTATCTCCTGAATATTCCTATCAATGTTGGAACTTCTCCTGTATTTAATGTTTCTGACATTTCTCTGTATGAAGGAAATTCAGATGATTTTGTGGAGGTTGAGACTTTACCAATTTCCAATTCCGTTCTACACAGGGATGATCAGATTGAAGATGTTCTTGATATCAGGACTACTCAGACTAGTCATGGAGAGCACAAAAGGTTCTTGGTTAAATGGAGCAACCGTCCATTAACTGATTGTACATGGATGGATACGGTAAAGCTAAAAAATCGTCATCCGAATCTCTATCAAAGAGTTGTTGAAGCTTTCTCATTAGGAGATGAGATTCTCCCACCGAGGGGGAATTGATGCATGTAAATTTCAAATTTTTTTAGTATTATTGTAATATGAATGCTATATATTTTTTTATGCTACCCTATGATGGAAGGCAACCAATGATCATGAGTAGGTAGTGTTTTGGACATGTCATTCTTTGGGGTGTGCTAGCTACTTTGGTGCCTTGGCTCTTGGGATGATGTGGGCTTCTCGGTTTGGGCTTGGTTGCCTCGGGTTAGCTTCCCCTTTTGGTGAGCTGTTGTGTTCTTCTTCTAAAATCAGCTCATTATTATTTCATTTAGCTGCCTTTTCAGCTCATAATTGGGTGTCCTGGTTCTCCACCCCTTCTCTGGTGGCCTTTCGGTTTCTCCGCCTGGCTCATGTCCCGTGGCTGGCTGTTGTTGTTCCCCGTGGTTCCCCGTTCATGTCCCCCGTGTGGTCTTTTCGGTTGCTGTTCCATGCGTTGCCTGTTGGTCTTTTAGTTGGTTCAACTGGATGTGATTGGGGATATTTGGCTACCTCTTTTCACCTATAAATATTTGATGTTTTGAGGCATTTAGAGGTTGCTGATTGCTGAGTAAAGTTCTCTAAAAATCTGAGGATTTCTTCTTGGGAAAGCTTGTGAGCTTGTTCCATTTCTCTTCTCCTCTCTTCAATTTCATCTTGGGCTTCTTATCTCATTCTTCTCTCCACATGTTTCCACTCCACTTGTATCTTTCTTCTCAAGTTATTGGAGGTGTTGGTTGGCCGATTTGATAGCATTTGCTGGAGGATTTTTGTGGTGGACGTTGGCCCAATTAGTTGTGGTGGACCCTTGGTTTGCATGTCCTCAAGCAGTTCTTTTATTTTACCTACTATTTTGTTGCATGTGAGGTGACCGCTAGTTGGTTGTTCTGATTGTAGCTTGTTTTAATTTTAATTTAATCTTCGTTTTGTTTTACTTTCGTTTGTTTGGAGGTTTATTTGGTGTTGGCTTTCTAAATTTGAATCGAGAAAAGTTCTACTAGCCCTAGTGCTCTCCTTTTTGACTTTTCTATCTAGTTGTCTGCATCACAAAAATATATAGGCTAAAAGCTGATTATTGATGTAATCCAATTGAAATAGGAAAATACTTACTCAAACCACCGTGTTTGAATACAAGTAATAGCTTTGACATATATATCCTAAATAACTTGAATATAACCAGTATTAACTCTCTTTTTTTTTTCTAGAACTCTCCAAAGTAGTTCTCTTAGAACTTTATCATATGTTTTTCCTAAATTATAGATATCATATGTAGGTCCTTATTCTTTCTATAATTCTTCATCAGAACTCTCAATAAATTTATAGCTTCCATAGTAGGCTTAACCGACATGAATCCAAATTGATTTTTAGAAACATTAATATCAAGTCGTAACCTATGTTCAATCAGTTTTAATGTATGATACATTAACTTAATTCCACTACAATTCATACACTCTTGTACATCACATTTATTCTTAAAAATAGAAACTAACACACTTGTCCACTCATCTAACATCTTTTTAGTCTTCAAAATAATATTAAGAAGTTTAGTGATGTATAAAAATAGCTTCTTTCATGAGAAGAATTATATGGCTAGAACTGCCTAGTGTAAAATCATTTGCATCCAAAGCTAAGAATATTGATTACAACTCAAAACTAAGACACTAATTGCTTTAAATTTTAATTGAGAAAAACCGAAAAGACAAATTTTGTGCATCAAATCTTATTAATCCAAACCACAAAGAAAAGAACGAATTCAAAACTGCTCAATATTGCTTGGTTCCCAAAAATATATTTACAAGTGTATGCATCTATGATGCACCGACACTCTGCTTAAAGAGGTATGCAGTGTCGGACACATGTCGGACACGGACACGCGTCCGACACTGCATGGACACGTGTCCGACACGGCATTGGAGTGTCGTAATTTAAAAAATTAAAATTAAAACCGGACACGTGTGTCCAACACACATGTCCGGTTATTAAATAATAAAATTGTCCGATTCGTTCTATTTAGCCTTTTCCGCCAACGTGAAGCTCTATTTTTCCGATCCACGAAAGAAATCTTCTAGGGCGGACCGGGCGAGCTCGCAGTCGACGCCAAACGGAGCCCGCTACCTTCGTGTCCCGTTCCTTCGTCATTTCTGCTCGAGCCGAGTCCGAGCCGAGCTCGTATTTCCCATTCCTTCGTTCCTGTGTGATTTTTGCGGTTAGCCGAGGCAAAGTTCGCAATCAACGCCAAACAGAGCACCTTCTACGCACAAGAGAGCTAAGACCTGTAAGTGAATTTCGCCATTTCTTCTCTTTATTATTGAAAAAGCTAATGTACATGCTCGGCACCGCTAGGTACATGCTCGGTACCGCTTAGTACATGCTCGGTACCGCTAGATACATGCTCGGTACCGCTAGATACATGCTATGCATCTATTTTACACATAATCAAGATTTTACATTAGTTTCCTAATGATTGAAAAATTGCTTTCAAAGAAACTGTTGGGGCCAAAATTCACATTTTAAATACATAAGGAAAGCCATATTCCAAGAAAATTCAATTAAAACATCAAGCAGTAAATGACAGGACACGTTGAGAATGACAATGCAAAAACATTTTAAAAAGCAAAAACAAAAGTGACAGGAGAGACCAAACATATAGAACTACGACGCTAAGCTCTAGAAGAGAAAGGAACGGGAAAGTTGGAAGAGAATATATTTGTAAATGTGCAAGGAATAGGCATTAATTACATTGTCAACATCCCAAACTCTCACTGTTTTGTCAAAGGATGATGTGGCAAGACGGGGAATGTTTGGGCTGAAACGAACATCCGTTACCAGTAAGTTGTGCTCTTCCAAAGACGATTTGGTCTTCAAAGTATCCGTGTACCAAAGTACTGTCTGCAGCAGTAAATCGTACATCAAATCAACAGATGTCACATTTTCTCAGCAAAAACTCAAAATCATAAGAAACAAAGCATAAAATTGGTATTTGAAAGCTCGGCAAATCAAACCTTCTTATCATGACCACCAGTTGCCAAGAGTTTTCCATCTGATGAGAAATGACAGCATATGACTTTGTTTGTGCTCGCACGAGCAATTCCAATTTCCGTAAATGTAAAACCTGAACAGCATCAAGAGAAATTAAGAAAATTTCTAAAAAAACAGAGCTGAACCCAGAATTACAAAATTTAAACACAGAACAACATTTTCTATTAAAATCTGTTCAGAAAAACTTCAGAAATTTCAAAAAACACACCTTTGCTGACATCCATACTACGACCAACTGTATCTCTTGGATCAGCATCATCATGGGACAAAAACGACTCAACATTGTCATCTAAAGAACCATCTTCAACAAAGCGATCAATATCAGCCTGAAACTCAATATAAATGTTATCTGAATGTCAAAATGCAGTCACAATGAAAATGTGTACACCCCAATATTTGGTTTTGGTCAAAATTTTGACCATAATTTAAACTAAGCAATCGTCAAATCTCACCCAATACTTACCAACTGGTTTGTAGATGTCAAAGTACCAGTCCCATCTGAGCCAAAAACAAGCAAAGGCTTAGATGAGTTTCCACTATGCTGCAACGAAGGCATGGATATCACATCCCCAGGTGTATGAGTAGAGGGTGTTGATGGTGCGGAACTCGGAGAAGGTCCAGCAGTATTTGCTGTTCCTGAACTATTGGCTGGACCTGAAGATGATCCAGGTTGCTTCCTTTTCCGAATGCTCGGATTTCTTGAAGCCTAAATCAATAAAAACTCAATAAATTATGGTAAAACAATGTGGCAGTAAATAGAACTATTTTAAGCACACCAGTTCCTCATAGCTAAGTCTTCAAAAATTTATGCAAACAAATGAAAAGAGGCTTATCACTTTTTGTAAAGTTAATGTGATCTAAGAAGCTTGATTGCGTAAGGAATCAAATTGACCATATTGCCAAATGTAGAACTTATAAAAATTAAGATGAAAGAACATGGATCTAGCAGGAAATTTAAGGTGTCTACAGCCACGATTGGAACGAAGCAAACCATAGAGATTCCAAACTTCCCATAGATACAGGTCCCACACAAACAGGCTGTAAGATGGCTTTCAAAACAGAGAAAAATCCAAACATGTTATCTTAGACAATGACAACATAATCGCCACCAAAAAGCATAATAATATATCAAAATTATTACCACCATGCTTTAATATTAACAGTTCAATACGACAAGCATACCTGGTCATTTCCTCGCAAAGAGTTTGATATGTTGCCATCCATAGTCACACTTGTAGCACCCATCTTATCTTGTTGATGGAGGTGCGTATTTGAGTTTTGTGACTGTTGGCTTGAAATAGGGAGCTGCTGAACCTGCTGCTGCTGATTATGGTTTTGCTGCTGCTGCAATTGAGCTATTTTCTACTACAGATAAACAATAAAATAAGGTATAGAAGACTAGCAGAAAAGGTGAACCACTTTCACAGAAGGAACAGAATACACAACTTAAAACTCCTACGTTCAAGGACACAGCTACTTCAACTAACTGAAAAAGATTTTGATGTTATGTAAGACGGTAGAGCAGTAAGTAAAGCAAACATTAAGACGACAACGATAAAATTAACATAGGAAAATAAAGGAGAACAACTCATCTTTTTTCTACTTCACAATGAAGGAGATGTACATAATTTATAGGTGATGCAAGAGAGCTAGAATAGAAAGAATCTATAAGAAAATTGAGGCCAGCTATAAATCAATTGCTTTTATATAGAGTAAGAACTCAGTTTATTGCTGAGTTGGAAGGGTATCTAGCCCTCGTGGATGACCATCAGCAATCCCGTGAATTGCTGAGTTGGGTGGAGATTCGGCCCTTACCACATTTGGAGGAACCCAATACTAGGTCAAAAGGGTGCAGCGGCATAGGAATATTTTGAGTTGAGTATAGGATTTTCACACTCTTCTCTTAAGTTGGGAATATATGTTGATTATTCCTAGCTAAAAGCAAGTTTGTTGAAGTGATTGATCAAGAGCTTTGGTGGTAATATCTACGTGTAATTCATTCAAATTATCCATTGATAAAGTTTTTTCTTTTATGAAGTGTCTATCAATTTCAACATGTTTAGCCATATCATGCTAAACAATAATTTTAGCTATATTGATAGTAGCTTATGTTCGCTGAGGAAAAGATGGTGCTACGGCACGAACCCCGCTTCGCAAGTTTTAGGTCCAATTTTTCCCCGAGGTAGATTAGATTATAAATTAACTAGATTTCCCCCGATGATCGGCATCAGGATTTATTTAGTTTTGAGATTCCACTTCCTATGAGGGCAAACCCTCATAATAAATTTCCCCTCCTAACTCGTAGGAGAGAACTCTCAATTAAGGATGAATTAATATTTAGATGTGCAACATTTTAATTTTGGTTGTGGGATGGAGGTAAACTCGATCAAGATCTAATGGTTCTATCATCCCAGCTATAATGTAGGTCTAAATAAGCTAACAACTGCTAATTGTATTATTCAAGAAATATGATTAGCAGACATGATTTGTCTCCTCTCAGAGATCCCGAGTAAACTGAAGTTCATGGATGTAAGTTGATTTGGTTTATGTTGAGACTTGCGGCTCCGCTTGGGAGTTGTCTATAGTTTAGATTTAGGTTAGGTCTTACAGCCTCGTTTAGGAGTTGCCTATAATCTGAATTTGGGTCAAGGCTTACGACTTTCATTAAAAGTTGCCCATATAGCAGGTCATACGGCTTCCCTTAGAAGTAGCCCCAATAGCTGGTACTATGGCCTCTATTAGAGGTTGCCAATATAGTGGAAGTGTTATTTAATCTAGGAAAGTTTTCCCTAATACCCTAATTAAAGTGAGACTTATGACCTATACTAGAGGTGGCCCGTATAACAAGAGACATGTTATCTGTCCTAGGGAGGGTTTTCCCTAATGGCCTAATTGAAGTGGGACTTACGGCCTTTATTAGAAGTGACCCGTTGGTGGTTTATGGTTATGTTGCTTTTACCTCAAGATTTCCCCTAAAGTCGGACTTATAGCTTCTATTAAAAGTTGCCGAGGCAAAGGTTTAGGTTAGCAGGGTTTTAGCAAACATGTAATTTGCATTTGAGTGTGTCTTACTACTTCTATTAGAAGTAGCCCGAGTAGCAAGTCTTATGGCTTCCCTTGGAAATAGCCTGTGGGTGGATCTTAAAATATAATCCTATAAGCAAGGAAGCCCATGTTTGAGAAGTTGATTACTCAACTTTGGAGGATTTGTTGTTCCCCTTGAGAGGGTTTATTAACTCCCATTGAGAGGTTGTGCATTAACTTAAATGGGATTTATCCTATTTTAGCTAGTAGTTGCCTCTTAGGGAAACTTTAGAGTAGTTACACACCCTACCGCCTGAATCCAGTGCTCTCAACCCTAGCTTTCAGTAGTGTACTGTGATTTTTTCTTATGGCAGTGATCATAGTTTTTCTACTTTAGTAGCTTGTCTTTTAAATTAATACTGATGTTTGTTAAGTACCTTGCTTGTTTTAGTACAAGTTATGTTTCATTAGAACCAATTTTATTTTACCAGTACTAGTTTATTTTATTAGTACCAAATTTATTTTATTAGTACCAATTTTGTTTTACCAGCACCAGGCTGACACCTTGCTTGTTTACTTGCAGGTATTCGTAGTTAGCAATTGCAAGAGATATAGCTTGCAGCTGCAGGGTTTACCAAGAGCTGGAGCCTACCAGGAGTTCGAGGGGTTTAGTTTAGGATTTTTGGAGCTTTCTTTCTGTTTTATGTTTTGGTTGTTCAATTCTTTAATCAATTCTGCTAGTGTGAACATTATTTTTTAATAAATTCTTTAATTACTTTTTTACTTAATTGCATTAATTAATTATATTAATTAATTAAATAAAATTTTAATTAACGTTAACTTTTAATTTAAAATTAGTTGCTCAGCTCGTTAATTTAAATTGAAATGTATTTTTAAATTATATAATTATTTTAAATTAATTAATAATTAAATTGGT